CCCGCTGCAAATACACGTCAAACGTTTTGCAAATAGCATGCATAATACCTGTGCTGTTGTGTTGATCAATATCTCTCTCTCATGCTACTTAATTTGCGTTTGTATTTATTGAAAAGCGCTTCTCCCAGATTACATTTGCATGGTCCACTAAAGGAATATTCATTTCGCAATCTGCACGGCACTTGATACCCCATGAATAAGATTTAAATTATTGTATTTTAAACAGTCAAAAACAAAAATCAATTAATGTTTTCAAAAAGTTTGTTGGTTATAAGCACAAAGTTTGATTTATAGCCCAGTTCTGTATAGGTGACAAAATATTTGTAACTGATGAATTTAAACTTTTTATTATATTTTTCTGTAAAAGCACTGCGACAAGAATTGTCACTGATAAATAATAGAGCCGTTAATTTGAAAAAAAAAAATTAATTATTCACATTTTTTCTAGAAACACTTAAGTTGTTTTAGAAAAAAAAATAAATATTTGTGGCAAATTTTTTTTTCAAAAATTCATTTTATGTATTCAAAAATTTCTTTTCGGTAAAAATTTAGTAGGTTGCTGTAAAACGTTAAATTATTACTTTTAAGAAACAGTGAAAATTGGTTAAAAAAAATTAATGCTTTTGTATTTATTTTTCGAAAAATTATTACAATTAGTTATAAATTATATATTTTTTTAAAAGCACTAATTTTTCTTTCATAAAAGTTCTACAGTATAAATTCTTTAAACAAAAAGATTTTTTTTTGTTTTTCACAAAAAAATTTGACTTTTCTTTAAACTAACTGAAAACACTTTAGGGGACACAAATTCTTTAAATTTGTTTTTTCATTTCTTAAATATTATTTCCAAAACTGCTTACTGCAGCCTTTTTGTTTAACTTCAAATATCTGCGCTGCCCTCTATTAATTATACCATCCTCGTGAATTTCATGTGTACGTGTGTAAGTGTTGGCTGTTTATGTGATTTGATTGCTAACCTATTTTACTTAAATATAATAAATATGTAATTATTATTTGTTGTATGTGTGTGTTGTGTGTGTGTGTGTGTGTGTTGCTTTCGTTCGCTTTACACTAACTATATATGTATATCATATTACACCTTATTATATGTATATCCCTATATACTTATATAGCCTTACAACTATCTATATATATTATTATTATTATTAATACATTACTATATAACACAGATGACTTTATCTTTTGCTTGCATTTCTTACACACCATTCCCCCTTGCGAATTTCGTTCCATTTTTATCAACTTTTTTGTATTATTTTTTGCGTTTTGTTACATTTTCGGCTCAATAATAAATAATTTAAAAAAAAAAACTCCTACAACTTCTTATATAACAACCTATACCTTCGTTAAACTTTTCTTATTGATTTTTTGTTTTGTTTTTTTTAGGTTTCGGACCTTCACACATACATATTTTTATAATTTGTAATTTGTTTTTGTTGTTGTCCTACTACTTTTATTTTCACTTCATTTTGACGATTTGTTTGCTTGTTTTGCCTTTATTTATTTTTTGTTCGATGATGATGTCTGACCACCAACACCGCGCTTAAAATAAGATTAGAATTTTAAATGTGTAATATTTTTTATTTAAATCTTTTTTTATAGATTTTCTTCTGCTGCTTATAAAAAAGTTGATTTGATTCTCATCCCATTTGCTTATGTATGTATGTATGTATATGCTTAGTATTTGTTTTTGTTTTTCATTTGTAATTGAGCTGCTTTATCTATTTATTATTGTAGTATATTTGTATGTACGAGTAGTTCAGAGTTGATTTTTTTGCGTTTAACTACTATTTTAGTAAATTTACATTAAGCCGGTGTTTGTTTAATGGATAGCTATGGGTTTTTATAGTTTGCAGTGTTTGAAAATTACCATAGTTTATTTTGAAAATGTTGAGAAGCATTTTTTTTTTAAATTTGTGGTTTTGCTTCTTCTGCTGATTATTCATCTTCCGGTAAATTTTGTTTTTGTTGCGTAACTATTCTAACATCTATGCTACACTAATCATGCTATAGTATCTACTACATATACGCATTTACATATATTGATTGAATTTGTTAGTTTCGTATATTGTGAGTGTGTGTGTGTGTGTGTGTGTGTAAGCAAATGAATTTGACTTAATAACCGTGAATTAATCAAATTTTTTTTTGAGTGATTTAATTAAATTGGAATAGTAAGTGTGGTGCAATAAAAAACAAAGTAAAAAAAAGAAAAATAATTGGCAATTAGTGGAGGTCAATAAAATGTATTTAGTTAATTTAAATAAGTGTTCTTAATAGTGTTAAACTCATTTCATTTGCTTCTTTTTTTTTTTTTGTTATTTAGGCAACTGCTCACATAGTTGAAAAAACATTTTTTATGGAACAAGTTATGTATATATGTAATTTTTTGAACTTCATATTAAAAGTACATTAAAATTTAACTTCAAATTTAATTTTAATTTTAACTTATAACAACAAGAATATGAAATACAAAAACCACTATTAAAAATCGGAAATTAAAAGTGAATTAAAAGCCGAAAATATGCACTATGNTTTCGAGGCCAATGAATTTTAGACATTTTAAAATATTTTTCAAAGTCAAATTGTTATAAAACTTCAAATTCATACAAAGAATTCTATTAAAACTAAAACGAGAGTTGTAAATTTATTTTAAAGGTAAAAAATAAATATGAGCAGTTATAAATATTTCGAGGCAATAAAATCGTGAAAATTTTAAAGATTTTTTAAATTCCAATTAAAAAAACTGTATGGTTTTACAATATAAGAAAAAATAAATAAATTTCAGCAAAAACTATTGCTGCAGCATATTTTAGCTTTGGTTTATCGCCACTCCGTTTCAGTTTTGAGCCAAAAAAAGAAGCAAAATAAATTATATAGAATCTAAAAATTTTTAAAAGTAAAAGTAAAGAAAAAATGACAATTTTCAAAAGTAGTTAAGGTAAAAAAATTAAAATAAAAAAATAACAAAAAACTTTAAATCTTGAAAAAATTTGTTAGAAAAAAAAAATAAATTTAAAGCCTATAATCTATCTCGAACGATATGCCGCACGAATGATTCGTCTGCAGACGTTTGTTTCGAGATACATAATTAGGCGGTTAAATGTGATTGAAATTTATGTTATAGGTACATTTTAACTGCAAAAAAGTAAAACATATAAGAAGTACATATAAATGTTTAAAACTTTTAATTTTGAAAAAAAGTTATGCGACAATAATTAACTTAAACATTTTAATTTCCACAAAAACTATATTGAAAATAGTTGAACTGGTATTTAGCGGTATTCTGATTTGAAACCCCAAAAAAATATTGAATAAATGACTATTTTCAGAACACGCATAATTCTTTAACACTTCCCTGAACTCTGAACTGCTAAGTGAATGATAGGTAGTACTGCTGCTTTTTGTTTGCCAGAAGAATCAATCGGCACACAAAGTACTCAAGAAATTCTAAATGCTATTACTTTCAACGCGGCTTTGATTTACCAAAAGTAATAATCACCTCAATATTTTTCGGATGATCAAAATCTGCCTCACAGCTGCTCCTTTCACGACAGCTTTGTGATCACATATATATAGTTACTTTCGTGATAGTGTTTGTTTTTGTTGCTGCTACCCGCTCAAGTCCTCCTCCTGCTGCTGGTTGACTTTTGGCCGTTTGCTTCATCTCTTCCGCAGTCTACTACGTTTTTTTTTTTTGTATTGCCTGCTGCCGCAACTACTCAGCTACATACTCACTTCCAGCCATATATGTAATACCTCTATATTGGCAGTAAGCTAATTTCTCCATGTATATCTACATACATGTACATATATGTTGTGTACATGTTTATTTATAAACGTTCGTGTTCTTTTTCTTTCGTACGTGTTTATTGATATATCTGTACTGTAGTGTTTTCGGACGGTACTATTTACAAATACTGCCAATATAGGATTATTACATATATGCTTCCAGTACTCACATATTTCTTTACTCAATTCCTGTTTTATGTGTTTTTAGAATTTTTTTTAAACAATTTTTGAAAAGAAAAGTTAAAATAACAAAATTTTGAAAATTAAATAAACTTTTGCTTCTTATCGATTTGCAAAATAAGAAAAACTGTGCTGATATTTATGTTTTTTTTTTTACCAATACTTTTTATGTTTTAATTTTAATTTTAAATTTAATATTAATTTGTTTCTCTCTTACTATCAATTATTTAGTTATCATTAATTAATATCACATCGACTTTGTTTGTTTTTGCGTTTTTTGCATCGCATTATCTTAAAGTTTTAAAAGTTTTTTTTACCTTTTTTGATTTTTTCATAAATTATTATGTTTGTATGTTTTTTTTTTGTTTTGTAGATTTATGAAAAAATCGCCATTAAATGTTTTCATTGCATAGAAAAAGGAAATAAGTTAAAGTTTGTTTTTTTCAGCTTTGCTTGCTAGCTGGTTTGGTTATTTGTTTGTTGTTGTTGTTGTTGTTGTTGTTGTTGTTGTTCTCATAATACTACCATAAATACATTGGTGCTGGACGTTAGCATAGGCGTCCGCTATAAGATGCTACTTTTGTTGTTTTTGTTAATAGTTAATTTTATAAATTACAAATGTTGTATTTTTCTTCTATTCTTCTACTTATTTAACGAATGCAGTTATCCAAAAAAAAGGAGTTAACACTAATTTGACTTCCTTTTGGTGCCTCAGCTTGAACGAGCGTGCACGCGTACGTCCCGACCCGCTCGGTTAGTCTCGCTTCCCGCTTGTCAAACCAATTTAAGTTTGCCGGTAACTGTTGATGCTGTAGTTGTTGTTTTGAACTTTAAATAATTTTTAGTTTTTGCTGCTATTACATTTGCTGTTTGTTGCGATTAAATTTTTGATTATTGCATATTGTTGTTGTGGTTGTTGTTGTTTTTGTATGTTTATGATTCGAAACTGCTTTGCTGGTATTTTGCTGTTATTTTACCATTTTCGAAAACGTAAATGTTGAGTTCCATTTTTATTTTTAGGGCTTATAGCTGTGGTTAATCCAATCCGATCCGATTCTACCCAATGCGAAATCTCCAGCTCTTTCCCCAAGCTGTTTCGTTTAGCTGCAAGTACCTCACATTACTTCGTTTATTATTTTTATTGCCTCATTCGACTTTTTTGTTGTTGTTGTTGTTTGTTTGTGGTGTCCAGTAAAAATAATGAAATTCGGAGGGATTGTTGAGAAAGTAAAGTATTCTCGTTATGCGTTGTTCCTGGTTTTGTTGTAGTAATTGTGGTTGTTCTTCATCTTCATTCTTTGATGTTGTATATATTTATGTAAGTATGTATGTATGTATGTAGTTAAAGCCACGCCCATTTGTTTAATATTTATTGAAAGAAAACTATGTGAGTAGTCCATTAGTTGTCTATTCAACACTCGAACTTATTTGCAATTGACCAAATTCGGATGCCCTTCGTTTAATTTTGTTTTTCTTCTTTTTCTTCTTTTGCAGTTATTATGCTTTCTTTGTGATTGTGTGAAGGAGATTAAATGAGATCTCTGGGTAGGTTATGTTTATTTAAAAAATCTCTCTTCTCGCAATCGCATAGCCGGAACTTATTTAAGTGCACTAATCGCAGGAGTACAGCTTGTTCTTGGTCAGCGTGAAATCGGGGCTTATCAAAATGGTATTGCTGCGTGTTAGATTTCTGCAAAAAGTGTGAAAAACTTTAGTTTAGTTGAATTTTCAATGCATATATATTAATGTTTGATGGGCGATCAAAAAATTATGTCCAAATTGAAATTAATAAAAATTTATGTATAGTTTTTAAATTATTAAGAAATCATGTTCAGTTTTTGAGTACCATTTTATGACAAATATTTAAATTATTAGAAAATTATGTATGTAGTATATTCAGTTTTAAATAATGTTCAAACTCTAAATTATAAAATAAATGATATCCAGTTTTTATTCGCCAAAAATTTTTGTCCAGTATTTAAATGAAATTATTTCATGAAATTATGTCCAAAAATTAAATGTGTCCAGTGTTAAATTACCAAAACTAATATGTCCCGATTTAAATTAAAAAAAAAATATATATATGTCAAATTTTAAATTACCAAAAATAATTGCCTAGTCTTAAATGATTAAAATCCATGTATGTATATATAATGATAGAACTTTTTAGAAAAGTATCGGTACTAGTACTCATATAGAATACTTTAAAGAAGAATCGATGGCAGTACTCATATTTGGAGAAAAGTATCGATAATATTCGCACTTTCAACTATTCTTATATCAAACGCGAAAAATCTGATTTGTAAATTAAATGGAAACTGCTTTAAATAGTAGTATAAAAGCACTTCAACAATAATTTTGTGAAATAAACTTGCAGTAAGTTTACTGCTACAAGTGTACAGTAATCGTTTATAGCAAAGAGCTATACATTTTTACCAGAAAATTTGCTATAATATTTAACGCGTTTATTTATAAACCAATTTACTTTTTAAATGAAGACCATTCTCTAAAGGAAATAGAATCTCTCTTTCATAAAAGAATAGGTTGGATTCCGAATAAACAACGAGGGTAGAATACATTCGTTAACGGAGGATCTGATATGCTGGATAATGGTTATTGTGTCGTTCTCATTCTTTATAGAAGGTGAAGGATGAGATTCGTTATCCAATTATTTAAGAATTTTTAACCAAGCCCAATGTGGAAATGACCGCTACCCCTTCTTGTACGGTGTGTAAAAATTTCATAGTTGTACCGATTACCAGTAGCCCATGAGAACAAAATATGTATTATTTTTTATTATGGGAGTACCTATATGTTAGTTCAAACATTTCAAGCCGTTTTTCTAGTTTTTTTTTTTGCTAAGACATTTTTAAAGCTTTATGTTCCTTTTGACGAAATTCATATTGGATATCGAAGATAATTTTCAAACGTTCGCCACATTGTTTATTGTGTAATTTTCAAACATTTTGTAATTGAAATAACGAAATTTTTTATATGAATTTAATTATTATTTTTACTTAAAAAAAGTACTTAAAACTTTGATATTTTTTGGTATTCGCGATACTTACTCAGTACTTGTCAAAAAGTATCGAGTTGGCGATACTACTCAGTACTCATGAAAAGTATCGATATTCTGTACTCGGTACTCGTATCGTTCTATCACTATGTATATACAATTTATATTTTCAGGCAAACCTATGTATGTTTATCATCATCACAACAAAACGCACTAAGAATATATTTTTTTCAGAAGAATCTTAAAAGTTGATAAAAATTGTATACAAAGGCCTTCTTGACATTAAAGTAATATTTCATTGGGTTCCGCAACAATATTTTAACGAATACCTAGCCATACGTGTAGTGTAAAATGGACAGAAACCTATTATTTTTTAATGCGTGGTAAAACTTTCTAAACCCACTTCAGTTGTTTCAGCAAAATGGTATAGAAATATTGATTTTTTTTTTACTTTTAACTTAGGGCGCTTTGTAGTGCAGACGATGGATGATATGGTTCATTACATACTTGATAAATTGTGGCAATAGCGATGTCCAGCCGCTCTTGTCTTGCTTGAGTGTGAGATACAGTTCAAAGGTGGAGACTGTGCAGTCATCCACTTTGAAAGAGGCAATGCGTCTGAAAGAAAGAAAAAAGACAGTGAGTGGTGAACTTGCGAAATACATACATAGTACATATGAAAAAAATATTGGAACAAATTTTTAAAAAAGTCTGTAACCCGCGAATAATGCCTAAGGCGAAAATGAGAATACATACATGTATATAAAAAATTAAAAAAAAAATATATACATATAATTTTTTTTAACGCGTGAACAACCAAATAAAAAAATTAAAATTTTATATTAAAAAATAAATATATGAAAATATACGTACATACATACATATGTATGTATACATTTCTAACTTCGCCGATAAAATGCTGAGGCTGACCAATTTGAATTTTTAAGCAACCACAACAAATATTGCTAAATCACGTAAAAAACGGTAGGCGTTTTAGCACCCTACAGCAGCTCTCTATCTATTCTCCACACATAACCCAATAATAACCCCTCTTTTCACCCCCAACTCACTCACCTCACATTGCCCGGCTCACACTCGAAATCGATGTACAGCGAACAGCCGCGCACGCCACACGGTTCCCGCTCCGAAGCCTTGATTATTTCGGCCGCAATACGCGGCATGAGATCATATGGCAGCGAGACTTCGGTGCAGTCCAAGTGGCGCTTCTTGGCGTCTCGCAATTCCGTTTGCACCCGGTGTGCCAGCTCATTGACGGCGGCTATGTCTACATCGGTTGTCGCGCTGCCAAAGCAGCTGCCCGATGTTGGGGTGCCGGTTGGGGTGATGGCCGCTGCTACTGGTGGTTCATAGTAGAACATGTTGTTGTTGTAGGTGGCCTCCATTGCCTGTTGTTTAGTTATTGTTGTTGTTGCGCAATTAGCTTGTTGTGATTTTTGTTGATTTGCTGCAGCTTGCTTTTGTTGTTCAGTGTATGCTAGTTGGTGGTTGTTGTGTTGTAATTGTTGCTCTTTTTGATAGTGGTGGTAATTGTTGGCGTGATGTTGGTGTTGTTGGTGGTAGTTGTTGTAAGTATGGTGGGTGGTGCCACCGTAATGGTGATTATTGTAGTAAAAGTGTTGCTGTTGTTGTTGTTGTTGTTGCTGTGTTGGCTTTTGTGGCGCTGACCAATTGCCGCCGTCAACGACGTCACCACCTTCTATTGCGTCCTCGGTGTACAGCTCCAGCTGCTGCTGTTCTTCGTCCTCTGTTGGCCGATGGGCACTTCCACGCCGATGGTTCCTGCTGTTGCGTTGTTTATGCGCAACGTTGTCGTCGCTGCTGAGACTGTTGCTTGTTGGTTGTAGTTGTGATGATGAATGTTGTGGTGGTGGTGGTGGTGGTGGTGTTAACGGACTCGTCCAGTCTATCGTTTAGAAAAAGACCAATAATGTTTGGAATATATTAGATATTTTTGTTTAGAAATTGACAAGTTAGCTTATATGTACTCGTATTTCCATACATTGAAAATTCAAATTAAAAATATAAAAAAACCCAATAAAAATTGGGCTTGGTTAACAATTCGAAAATTATTGAAAACCTAACATTTTTTCAAGTCTCACCTTCGATAACGAATGTGGAATAGGTTAGTATTCTATGCGAGAACTACGCCATTCTCCAGCAAAACGGAACCTTCGTTAGCCAATGAGGTTTACATTTGTTATGAATTCGAAATCCAGCCCATTATGGAATTGAAATTTTAATGAGAGGGAGTGATTGCATTATATTTCCATTCGAAAATGTGCTGGATCTCACTTCCTCTCTTGTTACTATGGTTTTCATTTTTTTTCGATCCTTTTGATTCTAACCCCTTTATTTCTCTTTTCTAAATAAAAGCTACATATGTATGTATATTTACGGTTAACAGTTTTGTTGTAATTTTTGATCCTGACTTTATACCAACATAAGCATATGTAAAATAAAACCGTTTATTCGCTTTTTCTTAATTTCAAAATCGGAAACCGAATTTTTTTCAATTTGAAATTTTTCGAATAGCCCGAAAAAAATTTTGGTAGTTACGTCTTTTTATATTTCAGGTGATGATATATACATATGTATGTACATATGTAACTCTTCATTAACTGATTTTTAAATTTCGCAATTCGATCACTTGCCAACAGCTCCTCCACTTCAATCCCCAAACTCCTAAACAATTTTCAATTTTCTCGCTTCTTAAATGTTCAATGCCAATACGAATAACCTACACCGGCCGGCTTGGGGGCTCTACATGCTCTAACATTCACTTTTCCATCCACAAGTAAATAAGAAACAGCTGTTATGTTACTAAATACTAACAACAGAGGAGCGCCCAAAGGTCGCAATAACAGCAAATTTTTTACATAGATAAGTATGTGTGAGCAGTGCAACCTCTTAACACAATCCCCTAGTTGTAAATAAAAACGCCTAACAGCTGTTAAGAAAATAAAACCAAAACAGCGCGCTCAACAGCTGATAATCAGCGAAAGTGAAACGAATGCCCAAGCAACTGTGTGCTGCACGAGCCAGAAGGTCTTTAACACAATTCTGTATGCTGTACATATCTCCAAGCACATACTACTTCTGTTACTAACAGTGGGCACGTGAGAAAAGNTGCTGTACATATCTCCAAGCACATACTACTTCTGTTACTAACAGTGGGCATTTGAGAAAAGAGAGAGCGTAAATGCAACGCGTTAACATTGCATAGTCGTATGCATTAAAGCGCAGGCGCTGTAATTGCAACTCTATGAGCTCCAAGCTGTTACAGCGATAAAATAAACGAACAGCTGTTTGCGCCAAACAGCTGAATTTTGTTGTAGTATGTAAGTAGAGCATATGTAATGAAATTGCTTGTGGATATATATGTGTGTGCACTTGTGCCGTGCTGCTGCATTGACACTGGTGGAAGGCATTTGTTAGAGAGGTAAGACGCAGTCACCTGGCAACTCAGCTGGAAATCAGCCGTTTTTGGGTAGCGTGCCAAGACCAGAGACATGCTTGCGTGACATTTGCTCGTTTGCTTTAACATTTACATATGTACATACGTACATACATACATATTTATGGTATGTGCCTATGTTGGCGTTGTAGCCGCCATGTTGTATCCAACAAATAAATATTGAAAGTGAAGACCGTCGAAGATAGAATATACATTACATACATACATACGTAAATACCCAGCCAGCAAAAAAAACGAAAACCGATCCGAAAAAGGACAAAAAAGTGGATGATGTGCGGATTTTTGTCCGTTTACTGATTCCATTTCCGACAAAAACGTATGTATGTACGGACAACTACAGAAAATCGTTTGTGAAACGGATACGTTTTCGGCAGTTTTTTTCTGAAATTTCTCTGATTGAATTTTTCGTTCAATACGCTTTCGTTTTGCACTTCACAGATACTTTTTCATGGTTCAAAAGAAATAAAATAAAATGAGGAAGTTGCTGACGCAATTCGGACCCGACTACTTCTGGAAGCTTACAAATAGCGGCACACTTCTCTGTACGCTCATCCACTGCCGACTACGCATGCATGTTTTCAAATGTCTAGCTTGAGCAAATAATATACAATTATTGCTTTCAAATGACATCATCTTTTTCGAATGTTTCGAACGTTTTCCGGATACGAAAATTTATGATAACTGTAGGAGTTTTTTCTATGCGTCTTCTGATACGGAAAATTGAGCTAAACTGCACTGTCGGCAAAAATTACGCTTCTTTGCTGGCTGGGTTATATGGACACCAAACACATAGCTCATAGTCGAGGGTTATGGTCTGATTATGGCAACTTGACGCAACTTACGGCTTTCACTTAAAAATTCTTTTAAATGGTTGTTGCTTATTGTTGAACAGCCGAAACTTAACGTAACTTAATGCCACGTCGAAATCTGTTCGTTTTGACTCTCTAAGTTCTACGTTCCGTTAAGTTAAGTTATGTTGCCATAATCAGGTTTTTAGGCGACTAATAAATGAGTATGTAGTTGAAAAGTGTCAGTAAAATTCCTTTTGGTAAATAGAGCTGTCTCTAGCGTTGTTTAGAACTAGACAAAGATGGAACACTACTAGTTTTATAGTAATTCACGCGTACCCTGGTCAGTCTCAATTTGTAGAAGTCAAGGTGTAGTTATGGTATTTTCAGAGATAGTAGTCGAGAGTTCCAACTTTAATTTAAGACAGGAAGGTTCTATCACCTTTCATTGCTTTGCTAGAGCTTCAAAAATTTTGCAAAAAACGCGATTTTTTTGACACTTACACCTCGTTTTTTTCAAAACCTTAAGCATTCGCAATCAGCACAAAAAAGTCTAGGAAAAACAGCTTTAACATTTGTTTCTTTTTTTTTGTTTTTTGTTGGGCGTATTATCCATTAAAAATTAACAAAAATTCAGATTTCAGTTTTTTTATAGAAATTTTTCTTTATGTAGCCCATAAAACCTTTCGCTCCCCTATTTAGTTAAGTTTTGCAAAATTATTCATCATGCATGTGCAGGCATGGAGAGAGAACGAGCAAACAATGGGCTAGCTTTTCTAAATATTTAGCGCAATCTGGATGTTAATGTTGACTCGGTATGCGAAAGGATTTTTATCTGTACCTCGGTGAATATAACTTTTTTTTGAGTTGTGCAGAATTATATCCACAATTAAATACGTCATGCTGAATACTCAAAAAAAAAACAATGATATTCATGGTTTTTACGAATGACTTTACATAAAACCCTCCGGCCTCTCCCCCCCTAAAGAAAAATCCTGCGGCCGGCCCTGGCACATACAAATTTATGCATTCTTGTATTTGCATAAGTATTCACTGTGCCTTGGTCGGTGTTCGCTCATTTGAGCATAACCGCAATTAAGCTCATTGCAGTTTGTTCATCGTAATGGCAATAAGCCTAAGTAAGCAACAATTACTACTGATAATACATATCTACATAAATATGTACAACAAATACAACAAGGACAGCGGATAGCAGCAAGAAAAAAAACTAACAACAACAACAGCAACTAACTAACGTTCGCACATCAATGACGCGTTCGTTAGCAACAGTCGTTAAGAAATCGCATTAATGTTGAAGAAGAAAAAAGAGACGCAAGAAAACGGAAGCAACAGAAGCGGCTCTGAGTAGCAACAAAAGCGCTAGCGACAAAATTACGCCATATTAGGAGCTTTGGCTAACGCTGTGTGGCAATGAGTTTCTTTCTTTGTGGGTTTCATCACATTCATGACAATAAATAGCGACACAAATTTATAGACCATAGAAAAAATAAATAAATAAAAATAAAAAAAAACACGATAGACAGCAACATCTATATACATATTTCGCGACATTTTTCATTCTACACACAAGGCGAAGGTGAAATTTCATCAGACACAGCGGCATTTCTTTTTGTCTTGTTGTTGCTCTTGTTATATGTATGTACGTATGTAGTTATTGTTGCTGCTAGCTCGCTGCTGTTATTACAATCAATTCTTTGTTTGCAATATTGTGTTATTTTTTTTTCCTATTTGAATTGCCAACACACGTTCAACGCAAAAGGATTAAATAATAAATGAAATAACTAAGCCGTTCAAGCAGCCAAAGCCAAAGTCCTAAGGCAAAGGCAAATGCAAAGGCGAACGCACCGTGGGGAGCCGGGGAAATGGTTGAGGCATGCATATAAATGCCAGCAGGGGGTGGCGCAAGAGTTGAGTTGGCAGGCAGTGGCTGGCTGGCAGGGCGACAGCTAAGCAGGGGGCGAGTAGTTAGTCCGACTAGCCACAGCTGTGCGCCAACGGGGTGACATAAGCGAGCATTGTTTGTTGAACGAGGACACATGTGTGCATACAAAATTGCAAATGCAGATATGTCAGTACATAAGTATTTACATTTCATAAGGTACGTAAGACAAATCTCGCTAGCTGAGAGTGAAAATTTGCTAAGTCCATTTTTTATTACCCAACAACTGCGCCAAATTTGGGAGAAATTGGTGGAGCGAATACCAAATTCAAATTTACTACAATATCACAGTCTTCGTATTTCTCAAAAATTACCGTTATATGGGAGGTAGGCGGGGTTATTTTCCGATTTTGCCCATTTTCGAGTTATCGTTTGCACAGATGGACGGACAGACAGTCACCGCTTAATCGATTTCTTTTTTCGCTCTGATCATATATGTATACNTAAAAAAAAAAAACTTAATACCCTTGGAATAAGAATTTTCGCAAAAAGTGGACTTAGTAATTTTTCAATAAAATATTATGACGATATGTGAGAAAAAGTGCATAAGTATGTAGCTATAAGTAGGTACAATAAATACAACAACAGCAAAATGAAAAAAAAAACAATAAAATGTTGAATAGAATGGCAAAAATTTAGAACAATCCATAATAACAAAAAGAAATATGTAAACTATTATT